GCTGACGTAATATACCTGATTACCTGCTTGATACCTGTTTGATGGGGTTCTGGGAGTTCTTCTACTCCCCAAGCCCGGCCCGAGGCCAGGCTTGACTTGTGAGTTTGGTCTACCAGGCTGTTGCTTGGAGCGGCCCGCAGGGCCACATACCCACCACACCCCGGCTGATCCGGAACTTCTCTTAGAAAACAGTCCAGTTTTCTCTTGAAGATGTCCACAGTTGTTCCGGCAATATTTCTTATAGTCGCTGGGAGGACGTTGATTTACACAGATTTGGCAAAAGCTTTCAACAAATGTGACCAAGATGTTATTGCACACAATTTGCACATAAAAGGAATTACTGGCAAAGTACAGAGATGGATCTTTAACTTCCTCATGAACAAAACCCAGACTGTAATAATCGACAAAACAAAATCTGGATCATCCTCTGTGAAAAACTCAGTTCCCCAGGGTACTGTGCTTGCTCAGGTACTTTTCTCATTCTCATATTGGACACAGACAAGGATACAAACTATAATACTGTCATCCTTTGCAGATGACACTAGGATTTTCATGAGGACTCAACAAATTTCCAATCTGATGTAAATTAAGCCTTTCAATGGGCCACAGAAAATAATATAGTTCCAGTTACTGAACTATGGGAAGAAACAAAAATATCAAAACAGAAACCACATAAAATGCAGTCAAACCATACTACTAAAAGAAAAAACAATGTACTGTAAATGATTTAGGAGTAGTTTGGAAGACCTTACTTTATACAACACAATAAAGTAGCCGTCACAACTGAAAGAAAAATGACAGGTTGGATAACAAAAACCTTTCAAACAAGAGATGCCATACCAATGATGATACTTTTTAAGACACTAGTGCTCTCTAGGCTGGAATGCTGTTGCACACTAACAGCTCAGTTCAAAGCCGGAGAAATTGCTGACCTGGAAAGTATACAAAGATCTTTTACTGCTATCCACTCAATAAAACATCTCAATTATTTGGACCAATTAAATTTTTTAAATCTGTATTCCCTAGAGCACAAGCGAGAGCAATACACAATAATTTACACTTGGAAAATACTAGAAAAACTGGTTCCAAACCTGCACACAAAAATACAACCACACAAGATTCAGAAGGCATGGCAGGATGTGCAAAATAAATCCACTGAAAAGCAGAGGTGCAATAGGCACACTCAGAAAACTTATTAACATAAAAAACCCAAGACCTTTCAACACTCTATGTATAATAATAGTTCCTTGTGTCAAGAGACAGGCAGCCAGTGTATATATATACAGAGTACAGTATATATATGTGTTAGGCTTACATTGACGTCACCCTGCCCCCAAGATTGAACTACATGTACTGTACTGACTCTTCCCAAGATGCAACCCTACAGCAAGCTGACTCCTGGGTGCCTACTTACTGCTAGGTGAACAGGTGCATTAGGTGATAGGAAATGCATCCAACCATTTCAGTCTCCCCAGGATTTGAACCTGGAATTCTTGACTGCAAGTCAGGAATGTACCAAACTGTACTACTGGAAGATATGATACATAACAACCCAACCCCTCGCAGTGTTTAAGAGAGAACTTAATAAACACCCTCAATGGCTACCTGATCAATCAGGCTGTGATTCATACATCAGGTTGCAGCAGCCAGAATGAATAGCCTAGTTGACCAAACCACCAACCACGAAGCCTGGTCAGATGTTCGTCCACTGGGATATTGATCCTCAGAATCATCAACAAGTATATGACGGGTAACAGAAAACAACATGACATTTAACAGTGGTAAATTCCAGCTACTCAGATATGGCAAAAACAAGGAACTGTAAGTTGATACCGGATAAAAGATGCAATCAAATCTCCCCCTAGAACAGAAATGACACATAAATGATCTAGGAATAATGATGATGTTGGATGACCTAATGCTTAGTAAATATAACAAACCTACAATCAGCCAGGGGGGAAATGATTGGGTGGATTATGAGAACCTTCATATCATGAGATGCCACCCAATGCTTCTACTTTTCAAATTGCTTGTGCTTTCCTGCATTGGAAAGCACAAGCTTTCCCTTTCAAGGGAAAGCCTCCCCTTTCAAGGCAGGAGAGATTTCAGAAATAGAATAAAAACATGTATTTCAAGAAAGAAAACATATATTTTAAGCATGGACACAATAAAACACCCGAGTTTCCATACTGGGTCGGTCTCAAAGCATTCATAATATGCTCTCTGGAAAAAAGAATAATGTTAACACATATATACATGAAAAGATATTCAAATATCAGATCTCAAATATACACAATAACAACACACAGGAGAAAAAGGTAAGGTAAGAAAAGCAGAAAGACCAAGAACGAGTGGGGGTACCACAGGCACAATGAGAGAACAGAGGATATGCCTCTTTCTAATAAATATGATACTGCTAGAACACAAGTAGGATTTTCTAGACATAGCTAAATACCTACATTCCTACAGGAAGTTCCACATCAGACATAATGTTAATAAATATGTGGGCCTTAGGGCACAGGCCAAGCTTGGAGAGTAGAAGTCTTGAAATTGACAGGTAAACTACAGGTAAATAATGAAAATCCACAGTTTGAATTTCAATGGCAAGATTTCTGGTGTGCAAGGCAGGTGGAAAGTGGATACCAGTGTTTATATCAGAGAAATAACCACTGAGACCATTTGTAACATACAGGGTCATCAAGTTGAGAACATTTTGAAAAGACTGAGGATATCCAATGTATCTGCCAGCAATCTTATGGAATTCCTTCTACACACACACACACTCACCCTGGAGGGGTAACAGGGAGACTTCTGACATGGATGAAAAATTTTCTAACTGACAGATGAGGGCAGTAGTCAAGAGACAATGTATCTGACTGGAGGAGTGTTACTAGCGGAGGAGAACCACAGGATTCAGTTCTTGCACCAGAAATGTTCGTCATCTACATAAATGATCTACCAAAAGGAACACAGTACAGAATTATATGACCATGTTTGCGGATGATGCTAAGATACTGGGGAAAATTGAAGACGAAGATGATTGTCATGTCCTTCAAATTGATCTAAATAAAATAAGTGCTTGGAGTGACATGTGGGAAATGAAATTCAATGTGAATAAATGCCTGTTATGGAATGTGGAATAGAAGAAAATAGACCACACACAACTTACAAATTATATGGTATATTACCACATAATACCAAGATATATTACATTATTTTCATTTCGTTATGAATTTGATGGGAATGTTTGGTAGAGAACTCCATTCAATACAAGAGAGTGTATGTGGGTTACCTGCAAAAAATTGGATTGGGCACCAGCTCAGTATCAAAATGAAAAAAGAAAGAAAAAACAACAAAAAATTGCAAAATTCTTGAAACATTTATGAGAGTTTAATGTTGATAATGAACTAAAGGGTTAAATCCCGAAGATGCCAGGTCATTAGATGGAATTATACAAGAATCAAATTCTACTACAGTAGCAGTAAATCATAATTAACCCTTTAACTGCGCAACGCGCCTGCAGGCCCACGTCTGGGGTGCGTTACGCACCTCCGGGTATTTGTATTTTTCACGTTCCATTCAAAACTCCCGCGGCTACATGGGATTCACATCAGCTTCCTCAGGGCTCTTGTAAACAGATGCCATCTTTAAAAAAAAAAAATTGTGATCCACATTCCTGGGTGTGAGAGCCTCAGTAGTGAGTGAACAACCAAGGCCGGCGCACGCAGCATGAGCTCACAGCACTGCTGTTCAGCTTATGACTACAGCATTGCCTAATAATGTAAAAAAATATATATAACTTGTATTATTTAGCCATGATAGTATTACAGAAGAGCCTGAGTGTGATAATGACTGTGTACAATGTATAAATATTAGTGATTCAATGCTGTTCACGATGTTCACAGCACTAGCCACAGCACCACAGCATTATTTCGTCCATCTAGGAATCTTCAAATGACTTCTTAGGATCCTTTACAAAATAAACTTGTGGCATGTGATTTCTCATGCAGTGTATAGTGGCCACTGTAAAGTTTGGACACAATACCGGCTTACTTGCATAGTTCTGGTGAATAAAACCATGTAGTTAGGTATACGTAACATGTGTAAATAGTGTAATACAAACAATAACAGTATGGTGGGAGGAGCAATGTTGGGGAGTAAGATGGAGGAGTGAGGGAGAGATTGGATGTTGAGGGGGAGGGTGTGGCAGCTGACACTCGCAGCATTCTGAGTGTGTTGATGGTGAATGCATATACTGTGGTGTGTGATAGTGTGTAAACAGACTGTATATATATACATAAATTAGCATGATACAATGGAAATATGTGACGGATATGTGTACACATGTGTAATGCACGTAACACAGTGTCTTCGGACAGTACGGATGTTCTACTGCCATAATATAGTGTACGTGTTCATTATACATAGGATTGGCACGTAAAGCATATAAAATGTATTTGGAACTGTGTGCAGAAAATTAACAAAAATATATTTGCAGCAACTAGCGCATCCTGCCCCGAGCACCCTACTGGCCCTGGGGGCATATGCCACGGGCGTCCAGGGAATGATGACGTCACGCATGAACTTACAGACCCCATAGCAGCCGTACAAATAGTACGTACAATTTTGACCTTCTGTTACTATACCCAGGTTTTTGACACTTTCAAAACAGAAAAAAAAAATCCAGATTTTATTTCCTGCGCACTGGGGGGGGGGGGGGGGGGGATGTCATATTTGGAGGCCACACAGTTAAAGGGTTAAAGCCAAATTTTACTAGAAAGTGTCTAAGCAACTAGTTTTAATGTTAATGTGGATATATCAGGAAGTCTTCAGGATTACTGAACCTGTTAATACCACATACAGAATAATGAAATATACATTATTACAACATTGTAGAAAAGTTTTCTTTTGGTCTGGTGTGTTAGTTTCAGTTAGTAATGTGCTCTTGCATCTAATACCTCACCATCCCGTGTAAATATGGAAACAGGGTAATAATAATAATATGTGCATGCATTTATTATTTGGTTAACAATTTAATTATATATTTAACTATAAACAGATACAAGATGAAGGCAACAATCTTATCTCTCTTCTTATTAACTGGAAGAATTTTTAACTTACTCACTGATATACTGAAGGCCAAGTGAAGTCATGCAGGATCAGTTTGAATTCTAAATCACTATTGCACAAATAGTCTAATGTCTTTTCAAAACATAGTTAAGTCCTGCAGCAAAGACTGAAAGTAGCTTCACTAGCCTTTTCTGCTTATGAAAAATAAGAATAACTTGCCATGAAGCCCTTATAAAAAATATCCTTGTATTACCGTGGTATGCAGTCTATCCTTTCATCAACAGGATCAAAACCTACAGCAAAATTCCCTTGAGAACATTTTCTTAACAAATCTGAATTAGCCAGACATCTAATGCAGCTTCATCAAATGATTGATTCTTGGGTCAATGCTGTTGATCAGAGAAAGATTGATGAACTTATGGACTCAATCTACGAAAATAATTAGACAGCAGTCTATGGGCTAAGTTGTCATCCCATGTAAAGTGAAATTTTACAAGCTGTTTACCAGTACTCCTTGTATGCACTAATAATATAATATTTATACTGCAGAAGCAGTAAACATAATTAGTAAGAGAAGGCACCAAGGCAGATAGACTATTTAGCAGCGTCTTTGTCAGAGAATACTGTAGTTAAAGCAAGGCGTAAAAGACATCTCTTACTGCTGCTGCTTTCTTGTCAAGTTCAAAAAGCCAAGATGTTCTTGAAATCTTATGACTTATTGCTGGGCAAAGATATGATGACTGATTTAGTCTCAAAACATTGGTGGATTCTGAAGATCTTGTCAGTCAACCCAGACAACAAAAACAATTACAAATTGTATTCAGTGTTAATAACATTTAACACTTCAACTGTCTGTATGTTTTTGAAGAGAGTTTAAACAGAGACTGGAGTTAAGGGAGAGTATAAAGCTACCTTTAACTTGTTTACACATTGTGTGTGTTTGGTCACAACACTGTGAAGGGAAGCTTTCATCAACAACCATTATCCCTTTTCCACGCAGCTATCCACAACAATATCCTCTCAAGGTTGCTCTCCATATCTTCAGTAGTGTTGGATGGAAGTTCATGCACCAAGTGTTCGGCATAACTCTCCTTTGCTTCATCTCTTAATACATTCATTATTTCACACTCAACATTATCCTCTAGCTTCTTTCCCTGGTAACCCCTGAAAAATTCAGAATCTTTAAATGGAACGCAAAATCACAGAGAATCAGAGCCTTATATTTTATTAGATAATACATGCATGAGAAAATTTGGGTCTCGGTAGTACAGTTGGGATCATTTTCGACTCATAATTGGGAATCCTGGGTTCAAATCCCGGAAGGGACAGCAATGTTTGTGCATGTTTCTTATCATCTAATGTCTCTGTTCACCTACTAGTAAATAGGTACCTGGGAGTAAGTCAGCTCATTGTAGGGTTGCATCCTGAGGAGGGTCAATAATTTGACCTTTGGTGGACCTCGATATAAGCCTAATGTATATACTGTACTTATACACAAAGGCTGCTTGTCCCCAACAAAATGAATCATGAATTATAATTAATCATTATGTCTTAATCTAAAACTATTTAAGGCGAACAGGATGTAATTTATACCTGTTTTAACTTTTAATTTTGAATATTAACTGTACAGTTATTCCCAAAATGCTCAATAAAGAATCCTAACTATATGATTAAGAACTCTTGATAATTATATTAAATTATCCTATCATAATATAAACTTCGTCACAGTTAGCAAACTATTCAGTGAATTAACCAAGATCAAACTTTCTTTCTAAAACAAAGCAAAATCTTTTTATCTTTAGCAAAGGCCAAGGCTGGCATTGCCAGAGACCATATTTATACTAAATTGTAATTCCTCACATTCCCTTTTTTAAATTCAAATTTTATGCATATTTTTAGTCAGGTTTCTGACTTTTTCCCTTTCAATATTGCAGCACCAACCATATCTAACATTAACATTATGGAAATTTTGCAACTGTAAACAAGAACAATACAGCACATTAAAATACAAAGTGATGACTGATATCTGCAATTATCGAGAGATAAACAAGGTACTTGTCTTCAAAAATTTTCTTATACAGGTACATTCAACAAAACACTGTCTTGAAGGCAGGATATTATTCATTAATAAATTGCAAAACATTCAGTACTCATAAATCATCTTTTTTTTTTTGTCCTAATTCTGTTGAAGAGCATATATATCCCTGCAATCCACTGAATTTCCACTAATAAAATGATTGTCACTACAATATTTCAATACTGCCATAAAATCAGGGAAATTACAACTGCATGCCAAACCTTTGTACTGCGTGAACAAAGATCCAAATCATCATCATCAGGTGCCTTGGAAGTATCAAACAATAGTTTATATATTCTATAGTAATTTTTTCCATATATAATGATCAAGATCTAAAATACATCATAATTTGAAATATTAATTCAAAATACTAAATTTGATCAAAAGCAAATTCTCTGGATGACTAAATGAATACTATAATAAGCTGGGTTTCAAAATACTCTAAAATAGAATACTGTATATATGCCATGATATTTTGTTTGCACTTCTCAATTCTTCAGCAGCTGCCTCAGAAAATTGCACATGTTATTAATCAACGATTCAGTTTTCTTCGTGGTTGGTGGTTCAGACAAGGTAAGCTTATTCGAAGTCTATCCATAATTACTAGATCTCTCTGTTGCAGATGACAGCCTTGTATGTGTTGGATTTTCACATGTACTGTACAGTAAATATATTTGATAACTAAAGTTTCTGAATGTTTGATTTGTATTACAACAAATTAATTTCTTATGGTAGAAGTACAGTAAAATAAGGAAGCCTGACAACTAGTGTCTTCACTGCACTAATAAAGCTGACAAAACAGAGCCAATGGTATGAAGTTATAGAGTGCACTGCCACATGTATCAAGGAACGTGAAACAAATAATGGGTGTTGACAAAACTGCCTGGTATGCAAATGCATAACAATTTCAATGTTTCCTATTGTAAATAACTGTATATGTATTGCACAATAAATAATAATAATAATAATACTGTAATAATAATAATAATAAAAAATACATTATCATTATCCATTTCCCATTTTTTATTTACAGTCCTTAAATTTCTTACATGTCCTTATTGGTTAAAATTAGATGAGTGAATTTGAAAAAAAAAATATTTGACATTTTGTTTGGTGTCTTGTTTATAATAATGGTACCACAAGGCACACCATACCTAAAGCGTCCTCTCTCAGTATTTACTCTGCCATTGTGGTGGAGTAAATACACCTGTATGTGACACCTGCTTGTGTCACATACTGTACATATACTCTATGTTCGTAGGTGTGGAACTTTATCAACCCCCCCGGTAAACATGAATGAGAAATGTCCTCAAGTTACAGCAGTGCCTCAAAACCATAGAGCTAGGAAACCCTTCAGTTTTGAGATGAAAATGTAAGTGATTAATGTATTTGATGTTTCTGATAAGTCTGTACACAGTGCCTCTGCTCTTGGTCTGGTACAGACAATTGTGAGAACAATTATTAGGAACGTTGATGCATATGAGTGTGCTAAATGTGTCACCCCATTAAGTGTCATAAACATTATGAAAGGCAGACATACGATTTTAAACAATGGGGAAATTGTTAAGTGTTTTGACTTAACAACATGTAGAGAGGAACATGTCCATCAGGTTCCTGAAGATTAACCATACAGCATGTACTGTCATTGCAGTTTTTGAGCGACTTAAAAAAAAACACTCAGAGCAACAAGCAATATGTGACTTGAGTACTTTAAATGTTATTGCCACTTGCACAAAATCAAGATGACCGGTGGAACAGCAAGTGAAGAAACGGAAGCAGTCAAACAATACCTCCAGATACTGAAGAAAGTGGCGACACTCTTAAACAAGTTAACTAAATTGATGAAACTGGAAATGAATGTATGTCATCAAGAACATGCATCTCCAGCAAAGATAAAAAGGCAGACAATCCTGCCTTTGAGTAACTTCTAATAAAATTTATCTCTCACCAAGTCTCAACACACAGACTACTGCTGTCTCTGGTAAGTAAAACCAGCATTGACACTAAAGAAACATCCCTTTCTGATAGGGCCTCAGCGGCTCACTGAGATAGCTCCACTCAGTTGAGTCATATCAGGCTTAGGAGTCCTGAATGACCTACTGGGTACCAAAAGAAGAATCTGGCTCCCCTCACAGGTACAGGGAGCAGGGAATTATTACAATCACCTTCAAGGAGAAAATAACCAGAAAGTATGTGAAGCTATACAGAAAATAACAAGCCCTAAACAACTCTAGAAATGCTCCACTGAATAGCTAGATCGAACCTCCCCCCCCACCCCCTATCTCTAGTTACGAACTATCACCAACAGGTAGCAGAAAGACTGGGAGCTTCTGGTTTCCACATCATCAGAATCTCAGTCTAGAGTTAAAAGACTACAAACTTATGCACCTGGAAGGGAGGAGAGGAGGGAAGGAGCGGGAATGAGTGACCCACCGAGACCCTACCAGAAAGAGGCATTTAATTATATTCCATGCTGGCTTTCTGGAGGGCCAAACAGTGGTTCCCTGAAGATAGCTAACAACAGAGCAGAAGGAAATGTGTAACTTACCAGGGAGGAGTAAAAAACAACACTCGAGAAGATGAGAGCATGGGATGGGAAACCTGACCCAGAGCAACACAAGCTTGACAGGGACCCTGGACATTGACCAGGTAATGAGCCAGCTGGACCCTGTTAGACCTTCAAAACTCCCAAGCCCATGACATGTTTGAAAATACAGAGGATAAACCACAAATTTGCAACCATCATAAGCCTAAGGATTGCCTGCAGGCTGGCTAAACTTAATGACACTGCTGACAACCTGGGACAAATGCGTTTTGGAACTGGTAACCAAGGAAACTGGATCAACAAACAATACTTCCACCAAAGCAGTGCGAGTGGCATACAAGTAGTGGTGAACCACCACAATAGGACAACAAATGATGCACTCCCAGCCAAACAAATGATGCAGCAACAAAGGACCCTTCTGAAAAGCAACCATCTCATTCTTCATCAACAAAGAAAGCAAAGGCTGCAAAAGCTGAAACCCTACCAGAGCCAAAAGAAGAAAACCCACATTTCCAGAGAAGAGCACAAAGCTTCTCCACCTGATAACTGGAAGTGAGGAAAAAAAAAAAAAAAAAGAGGCATCACGAACTGAAGGGGCAACCGACAAATGAGAGGGGCAGGGAAATACCAACAACCAACTGAGAGACCAAGATGACTCAGGAGCAACATGAGCTGATCAGAGGTAAAAGAAGACACAAGACAACTTGTCATCTATCCACATACATGGGACTAACTGAATGAAACAAGCAGTAGAACCCACGTCTTGCCACTCAAGCATATGGGTTCGGAAAAAGCCATGCTATACCCCCAAGGATAACAGAGGGTTGACAGCAAGCTAGGACGAATCAGCAACATCATAATGGAGCCAACCTAAAGTCAAAGAAGGCAGATTGTGATCCTGCAGGAAGAACCAAAAGAAGTTCGCCCGTGCCAAAAACATGCGATGATAGAAACCTCTGGAAATAATGACATCTGCAGAACCTAACAGAAAATGGAAGCACACCTGGGGACAGGGAAAAGGGGGGAGGGCAGGCTACCTGAGAATTCCAGCTCAAATATGGATGTTGGATAAGTGAAGTCTTCCACCTTGAGTGAAATAGGTCACACAGATGGATTCATAGACCAGGAAGATTTGAAGGGCACCCAGGGACCCTTTTTGGGCTCTACTCCAGCCCTGTAGGTCACACATTATGACCCCGGGGCAGAGCAGTTATTGCATGCCTAATGCTTTAAATAGGAAAGCATTGCCCAACAGTACAGTATACAATTTGAGTAAGGCAAACTCCCTTGAGAAGTAATAGGCTTTGAATCCTCAGTGAGAAGAGAAGTCTCTATTGGAGAAATCAAGAGAGCAGACCCCAGAGCTGGCCAAGCTACACCCTGTCCAGACTCTGAAACTCTCAGACATTTCGGAGCCTGAAGCAACAAGGGGGGAAAAATAGAACAGAAGCCAGATGAACCACATCATCCAGGAAAGGAGGAGAAGGAGGAGGAGGGGCAAATTGGAACAGTTAAATTCATCAACTCTGAGCTCATAAACACCCTAGGGGTAAACTCCAGGGCATCTACTCGAGACCAAGCAACAAACCCCAAACACAAACAAAATGAGTCTACAAAGCAGTTACTGATAAGCCTCCTGTCTTGAGGCAGGGTCTAATAAAATATAGACTTAGTGAATGCAAACATCACAGGCCTTTGGATCAGTATGGCAGCATGGTGGAGATAGAAAGAATGACCATTGGTGTGTCCTCTTGTTCAAGCGAGACAAGAGGATTGTAAACAACCACGCAAAAAAGCCAAGACTGATCAAACACAACGACCAAAATTCCAGACGAAGAGTAATTTTAATTTAGGGAAATTATTATGAAATATGAAAGTTAACACTTTAGTCCGGTAACGATGCAGCATTGCGTTGTTTTTTTTAGTAGACGCATTTCCAGTAACGACGCAGCATTGCGTCGGGGGCAAATTGGCGACGGCTTCGGGAGGGGCGCGCCGCGGTTTTGGATATTATATGCATATACACCTGTTAGGAATTTCATTGCGAATACATTGATACCAAAATGAAAGACCTAGGACAAGAACTGAGGTAACAAAGTTGAAAAGAGTATACCCATTTTATTAGCGCTCACTGGGATTACGCTCCGTCACTTTCTCTGTTTGCTGTGGGTGGTACGCCTGGCTTTTGGACTTTATATTTGTATATACTCCTGTAGGGAATTCTATTGCGAACACAATGTTACCAAAATGAAAGACCTAGGACAAGAATTGAGACGTCCACAGTGAAGAGTGCACATTTTATTGCTCTTGCACACTTCTGGGTAATACGCTCTTACTTTCTCACTTTTTCGCTGGGCTTTTGGGTTCTATATGCATTTAGTCTTGTAGAGAATTCTATTGCGAACACATTGATACCAAATTGAAAACCCTAGGACGAGAAATGAGATGACAAAGTGGAAAAGAGTATACACTTTTCAGTATTACCGCGCTCTCTAATGTAATGAGAGGTGCCTTGGGGTGGCGCAGTGCTCTCTTTCTGGGCCACTTTCATCTTGTCGGCAGGTGGAGCGCGCTTCAGTTTTTTACTTTATATGCATATACTCTTGTTGGGAATTCTATTGCGAACACAATGATACCAAAATGAAAGGCCTAGGACGGGAATTGAGGTGACAAAAGTGAAGAGAGTGTACACATTTTATCGTTCTTGGGCGCTCCCGGGTAACACGCACTCACTTCCTCTGTTTGTTGTGGATGGTATGCTGGGCTTTTGGACTTTATATGCCTTTAGTGCTGTAGAGAATTCTATTGTGAACACAATGATACCAAATTAAAAAACCTTAGACGAGAATTGAGGTGACAAGTTGAAAAGAGTATACACTTTTCAGAGTTACCGCTCGCTCCCATGAAACGCTGAAGCCCACTCGGGTAGTGCAGGTCTTGCCCGCACGGTGTACAAAAGTGTTAAAACTCCCTATATACAATTTTAAATGTAAAAAAATATGTCCGTTAGAATGTGATTTTTTAGAAAGATATAAAAAGAACTGATTGTATGATGTGCCTTCAAATTTTTCAATACAGAGAGAGATTTATGATCAGTATTTACCTAGTAAGCAAGGCTGATGGCTACCTGCCAAACTCGAAAGTAATGAGTGCAGACCCAACAGGTCGATTCATAGTGAACCTCACTGAGGACCTGCGGGGTTTACCAGAGCCTGAAGGAATACCCAAGCAGGACACCCAGGCATTAAGGATGCCTGCCAAAAGAACTGATGTCGAACGCAGACCTAAGAATAAATAATTGTGAATGCAAAGTTGTCAGTGGCGTACTGTATAGAAGAGCATACAAACCTTAGTGTACCTCACAGCAAAAATCCCTAACACCCCAACCACATGAAATTCAGAGTCAAGAGACTCTTGCACTATCCAAGACAAGGCACCCTACATAATAGCATGGCCTCTCAAGGCGAACTCCAAAACTCATCAAACAAGCCACTGTCAGATCAGGAGTAATGCCAGAATGAGCGCCTAGGGAAGGGTAACCCAAAACACTTGCACCTTGAGGTGAAGAATAGACCAATCCATGCAACAAGCGAATCGCTGATGACATAGAAGCCAGGAGCTCCCAGTGGTGCTGCCATCTTCTGGTCATCAGCCATAACTAGAGGGAAGGGAACTATTGGTAGAAAGCACCAAGCCATTACAACTATACCACTTGGAAGGGATCAGAATAAGGATTTGGGATTTAACGTTGGAAACATTGGTGCCCAGCTATAGAGTGAATTATTTACGAAGTTGTTTGTTGCTTCAATTTTTTCCTCTGCGAACCTTGCAGTTAATTTCAAAATCTAAGCTTTTAATATGAAGTAATAATCTCAGACAAAAAAAATTTAAGGTTAAATTTACCAAGAGCACTTAAAAATATGGTACCTGGAAGCAAGTCTATCAAACAAGAGGGTGTTGTCAGTCCTCAGCACAAATACAATGTCAAAAAATCTTTCTGGGAAGAAGTCACATCCGTGGTAGTCTACTATAGTTCCTCCTTCCTCCATCATATCTTCCATTTCATCTAGTACCTACAAAAAGAAATCACAATTTATCATTCTGCCATTACTAGTAATACTTTACACAATACAATACATACAAATAACACAAATTATAATTTAAAACTATATAAATATACTTAACTAAAAAGTGTACTTATTGTTTAGACCTCCATAAAATATACAGGAATTTATTTATATTAAAAACCTACTTGTGTCAATCAAATTATCTGTAGACACTGATTTCCAGTTGTGTCAAATGAGTATAAAACGCAACCTGTTGTAGTCTACAAATTATACGTATGCCACATTGAAGTGTGGTTATTCAGGAAATGTAGAAAGGTTTTGCCATAACCTGCAGAGATTCTATCCAAATCTGTTATGACCTGAAAGTTGTAATGTATTTACAAATAATAATAATCAAGGTGACCACTAATATAAAGTCACCCATATCAGGGTATTACCTAGTAAAGTTATTGATGCTCTAGGTGGACTAAAACTCAAGCACTGACTGCAATGAAATGCCATTTTCTGGCAAGCTTTTCAGTAGTTCCCTGAGCTTAAGCATTGGTACTGTAAAGCCAAGCTTTAGGGAAGTTAGCATTGAGGTGCCTTCCATAACATATGAGGAGGAGAAGAGAGAAAAGAGAGTACCCCTGGCCAAGGACCAGAACAGCCCAGGCGGCACATGAGCAGGCTGGAGGTGAAACAAAGCATGACAAAGCTTGCAGAATGGGGCAGAAGTGACATCCATCCAGAACACAAGCTGAAGTTTCTCCGCCAGCACCGCACAATACCAGGCGACAGTATTCAGCATCAAATGACGGTCCTGAAAAAGCCAAGAAAGGACAAAACAACCCGATCAGAAATAGAAGAAAACCTATGAAGAGAGAGGAAATGACGAAAAGAATGCCAGGAAACTTCATACTGTCACCGAGACGAAGCTTACAGGTGGGACACCATCAACGAAGTCACTTGATCACCATACAAGTGGTGATATACTCGCATCAAAAAGACCAGACGCGAAGAGCGGAGGAGTAGACCGAACCAGCCACGTACCAGACCAGTCCGATCTGCTGAAAGAGGTGGAGCCATGGAAAATATCTCGGGTTTGGACACCGAGCAAGCAGCGCCTGGAACCAAGGCTGGGCCGGCCAACAAGGGACCAACAGGACTACTCTTCCCTGCTAAATCTCCAGTCGAGCAAGACCCGAAGCAACAGCTGGACCGGGGGAAAAGAGGTACAGGTAACATATATCTGGAGATGCCGCAACCACACCAACACGAAGAGCTCCCATCCAGGCGCCCGTACGTCTGGCAGAGCCAACTGAAGGAGTCGGAGTCGGCGTTGACCGTCCATTCCGTGGACAGGAGAATGAACCGAGACAGGCTGTCCGCCAGGATGTTCGACACTCCCTGGATATGAACTGCACAGAGAGCCAAACCCTGAGAATCAAACAGATTGAGTCACTCGAAGCGACCAGTCCTAAAGAGCCAAGGACTGAAGAGAACCCCTGCGGACCCCCTGCATGAACCACCGGAGAGCAGTTCAAATCATGGAACTGGAGACGGATCATGGAACCTCAAGCGACTGGAACCCTCCGAAGAGACAGCCTGCCTGCACTAGAGACGAGAAGCAAAGAACAGAGATCGCTTCCCTGAGAATCGGTGCAAACAGCTTCAATAGTGCAGCCGACGTCTGAGCTGCAGAGGCCAGTGCACCAGACGAAGGCCCGGAACTCAACGCTTCCACATCTTCCCAAAGCCAATCCAAGGACAGCTCGAAAAGAGAAAAGAAACACAAGACTGAAGCCAAATGCCCACGGGCGCACGAATCCTAAGCTACAAACGATGATGAAAAGGGTGGGAACCAGCACAACTCCAACATCCCGAGGAAGCATAGAGTCGAAAAACCATGCGCTGAGGCGCTCAAACGCGCCCCCCCAGTAAACCTGCAGAACGATAGCAGCCTCTCACCAATTGAGTGTGCGGGTCCGACAAAACCTATGCTACGCCCCCATCTGAGGCCAGAGTCGACGACTACCCCAGATTGCATCAGCCAACGATTTGGAGTTGTTGAGTAGCAGTGCGGAGGGCGGAGGACATGAGCATCATTCTAAGCGTTGACTTTTGACCAGGAGGATGTCTGAAATGAACTGACAAGTCATTCAGGATACAACCCAGGCAAATGCACATCATTATGTCCTGCACAACCTGAAGATTGAATGTATCAAGAATTGTACATTAGTATCTCTGTTATTAAAGACAAGTGAGCAATACCTACTCAAACGATGTGTAGATTAATCCTCCATAACTAATGGAGTTTCTATATCCTAGAAGATAGAAGGTACAATTGTGCATTCATATGAAGACAATCTGACAGCCCGCACCACCTCGTCCTGCATGCTGCCCATTCTACTTGTTTTACACCCACTACCATCTGTAGCCACCCTCCACCATAACAACGAACATGCCTACCATTCTGTGCATGTGTATGTATACCTATGAAATTTTAAGTACCAAAATCCAGTGTGGACTTATGTCCACATTATTACTTAAATCTCCAGCCGTAAGCTGCTGATATAACCAGCGTTGAATGTAATGAAATGCCATTTTCTGGGCGAGACCCAGAGGCTCCCCAGAGCTATCCAGGCTGATATGGATATATTAGATTTCTGGCATCAGATAATGTGCATGGAGTTCCAGGCCTACCAGGGACCACGAGCCAGAACCTGGCCCCCTCAGAGAGGTATGAGGAGCAATGGTCTATAGACACCCCCGTGTGGTTGGAAACATTCTATGTCTGCCTGATGGCTGGGTGGATAGCGCTTGAGACCCAGAGGCTCCCCGGAGCTATCCAGGCTGATATGGATATATTAGATTTCTGGCATCAGATAATGTGCATGGAGTTCCAGGCCTACCAGGGACCACGAGCCAGAACCTGGCCCCCCTCAGAGAGGTATGAGGAACAATGGTCTATAGACACCCCCGTGTGGTTGGAAACATTCTGTCTGCCTGATGGCTGGGTGGACAGTGCTTCGGATTCGTAGTCCTGAGGTTCCGGGTTCGATCCCGGTGGAGGCGGAGACAAATGGGCAAAATGTTTCTTTCACCCTGATGCCCCTGTTACCTAGCAGTAAATAGGTGCCTGGGAGTTAGACAGCTGCTACGAGCCGCTTCCCAGTGGGGTGTAACAAAAAGGAGGCCTGGTCGAGGACCGGGCTGCAGGGACGCTAAAGCCCCGAAATCATCTCAAGATAACCATTGACCAGGTCAGGTACTCAGAAAGGTAAGCACCCCAAAACAAACCCCTATTCTGGTGAAAACATTGCTAAAAAGAGCCAAACGAATGGACAAAACTCCACAAATGAAAACAAGCAAACTAGCATGACGTTACCACATTGCCGTGCCGCTGTCTGAGCAAACTCCCCCCTCTCCCCTGGAGGGGGAAGGGAGACCCCAGACCTTTATGCCGGCTACCCGACCTTCAGTTCTTAAGGCTGTTGGATGTCAAAAATGAGAAAACCTGCCGACCAGAGGAAGGAAGGGTTGCCTAGGACCCTCCAGGCCTTGCCCAGAAAATGGCATTTCATTACATTCAACGCTGGTTTTCTGGGGGAAGCCCCTTCAGCTCCCCGGAGCTAACTACCCAAAGACAAAAACAAAAATAGACTTACCCGGGAGGTGGTCAGCCCTCTCTCCTCAACTCGAAGTCGAGACAACTGGCTGCAACTGCCGCCCCAATGCGGCACAGGACCTACGAGGCCCAGGAACATTGATAAGGTAGCGAGCGGCCAGAACCCTGTTCGATCTCCAAAAACACTGTGCCCAAATGTCAACCCAAGACGTATTACCGAAGACGGCAGCCAAGGCAGCAAACTTACGAAAGTCGTGGGCAAGAGGATAGATTGCAGGCTGGCTAGACCTGATAACCCAGTGGACGACCTGGGAGGCCCATGCCCTAGAACAGGGAAGAAGGAAAACCGGGTCAAGCCAAAGCGCGTCCCCGGCCACCAAAGCCATGGAACGCAGATAATGGCAAAGAGCCGCAACCGGACACAACACATGATGCACCCCCAGCCTGACCAACCAAGCATCAACAACCCAAGGACCCCTCTGGAAAGCAGCAGACTCATTCTTTGCCAGAAAAGAATGAGACAGCTGCAAATGAACAAACCTACTATTAGGATCAAAAGAGAGCAGAGATCCCCATTTTGGGTAACGAACGCCCCGATCGCCGACAATACGTCTCGTTAGGCGACCGCTCATTTGAATAACGTCAACACCACATGGAGGAGTCTGGGGCTGCTTCTCACACATTCTCGGACCCCTCCGACGAAGCAAATAAATTATTTTTCTTTGTGTACAAATGCTATTGATGCTGGGATGTTGCAAAGCATTGACTTTTTGTAGAAAAACGAAATGAATTTTATAAAGAATGAACAAATTTCAAAACGGTTCATTCGGTGTTTGTCAGGTAGGCTGCTCCATGTTTCTTATAAAAAAAATAAAAAAATGAAGAATTTTGAAAAACAGAACAAATGTGAAAAAGGTTCGTTCGGTGTTCGGCAGGTAGACTGCTCCATGTTTCTTGAAAATAAAAAGAAAAAAAACAGTTGAAACAATTTGAAAAATGGACAAATGCCATAAAGGTTCATTCAGTGTTTGTTGGGTAGGCTGCTCCATTATTGAGAAATGAAAAATACAAAACAAATGGAACATATTTGAAACACAAAGATTGTCATAATGGAGCAGCCTACCCGACAAACACTGAACAAACCTTTATGGCATTTGTCCATTTTTCAAATTGTTTCAACTTTTTTTTTTTTTTTTTTTTAATAAACATGGAGCAGCCTACCTGCCGAACACCCAACGAACCTTTTTGACATTTGTTCTGTTTTTTCAAAATTCTTCATTTTTTTTATTTTATTTTTTTATAAGAAACATGGAGCAGCCTACCTGACAAACACCGAACGAACCTTTTGCTATACAAAAAATGAAAAAAAAAATTGAACAAATTTGAAGAAAGAAAACTGTCATAAAGGTTTGTTCAGTATATGTAAGGTAGGCTGCTGCATTATTTAAAATATCAAATATCATATTGATGCTTTTCGGTGGTAGAACGGATTAATTTGATTTCCATTATTGTCAATGGGGACATTCGTTTCGTATGACGTCAGTTTCACATGACGATCATAGCGCTGGAACGGATTAAATTCGTTATTCGAGGTACCACTGTAATTTATTTACAAGAAGGTACAATGGGTTGGTGAGATTTCATTTGAGTGATGTTTTTACATTCTTGCAAAGCCACTAACATGCACAGTGTTTTGAGCAAGTCCTTAATCTAAAATATCAGGTAAGGTGAAAAAGTACTTTTGTAGCAAAGTTTTTATATCAACACTATAAATTATAAATTTATTATTGAAATTAAATAAACATGTAAAGACATTAGATTCTCCTTGAACCTTGAATAACCTGTGTTATCTTTAGCACTAAACACCTCCAAGAATCATATCCCACTTGCATTCCTTGTGACCTAAATACTGTACTGAACAATACCAAATCTGCAGTTGTATCGAGACTCTCATCAAGGTGGAATCTGAGGAAAATACCAAGGACAACCAAAAAGCATAGATCATTGTGCTGAATGGTAGACTTCCCACCTCAAAGGGTCAATTTAAATGCAAAGACTCAAGGCTCCTTGCTCTTGAGTGTCTTATTGTTCAAGTGTTGTTTCTTCATAGCTCTTGTAAAAGATGGTCTGACCAAAGGTAACTACTTTCTTAAAAGTCATGATACTTTCTGCAGTTGTCACTGAGAGTGAAGTTATGTATTCATTTGCATATCATCTCAAGGGACAAATTCATATCATATCATATTAGCTTAACAAAGTAAACACTTAACATTGAGTAAAATGCAGTTTCTATACCAAAAAAAAACAAAGATAACAAATGTGAGATATAACACCTGAACAGTGATTATTAGAGGGTTTCCATCTTTAGTATAAAGCCCCCATTACATAACATAGAGCCAGTTATTATTAAGGAACAGAGCCCATGTAATATGAGTTACCTTATCTTCATCAAGAATGGGGCAATCTCTCTCATCATCATAACCATCAAAAAAATTATTGTCCCTTGCCAGGTCTCCTACATTGATCCATTCCAGGCCAGAGCGTTCAGCCAGTAGTTGAGCTAATGTTGACTTGCCCACTCCTGGCGTTCCTGGAATAAACAATAAATATAAGAACTGCATTTAACTAATATGTTATTTATATATTTTTTATAAATAACAGTACTGTACCTGTATTGTAGTGTGCTGTACTGAATTATGTGAAACAAATCCAACCCACGTGTTCTGCCTGCTTGATGGGATTCTGGGAGTTCTACTCCCCAAGCCTACTTGTGAGAGCTTGGTCCAACAGCCTAGTCTAGAATTTTAACAACTTCTATAAGTTGTCATAAATAGGGGATTCAAATCTAAATCGGAATCAGAAATTGTGTGCAAGAGGTCAACAATGCTATTACGAAATAAGAAATACTGTATACAGTATTAGGTTGGAAATGGAATAATTTTTCACAATACTCAAGAGAAAATTATAACAATAGCATAGCTATTTTGCACATTTCTGAAATGTGGACAATATCTGACAGTATACTGTTCGGCACTTTGTCAGGAGTAATTTGAATCTGAATAATGAAACCCGTTCTTGTGCTAAACCTAAGGATTGAGAATCCTACGCATATTAAACAGGAGTAGTGGGTACTGCACTACTATATTTGGATACAGTACAGTATAAAATAAGAACATAACTGCCATTATACATGCGGCATAATGATTATTGTCTCTGGAGTGTGCACTTTAATTGGTTGAGTACTCTGTCAAAAACAGCTTTAGTAACTTTCAATACAGTAATTTTTCAAGGGTTAATTAAGCAATAATGTTTTTTTTAAATTGTATGTATCGAGAGATCAGTTGAATAGCAGAGCAATGGCTGATACAAGTACTTGAGTATCTTTTCTGTATACAGTGGTTGATATTTATTTCACTAGTGTTTATGACTTTGGTTTTGAGCGAGGCAATTATCAGGAGAAAGCGCCAAGCCATTACAACTATACTGTATATCACTTGAGTTTTGAGTGAGTGAATTATGGAAATAATGTCCGGAGAGAAGATTTGCAAAACGATGTATTGTATAGTTGGGATAGCTGCCAGTGAGATATGTAACAATATTTGTCTGCATCTTTGGAATATTTCAAGCAAGGCTAACAGCTTATTCTGTTTTAGAGTGTGTTTGGATCCAGGATTGAGAGATTTTTTTATATTTCCTTTGTCTTCTTTAAATATGGTTTCATAGTTGGATAGTTTAGCTCTTCTAATTATTTTAGTTAGGAGAATCATTTTACAAATTACTTAGGCTAGGCCAAGTTTATTTTATTTTTCATATTCAAGTTTCGTCTTAAATGTTTAATGCTTTTGGAGAGCCACAGATTGTTAAATCTTTAAACAGTTATTTGTTTAGCAAGGGGAGGACAGGAAGATGTCACTGGCAAGGTGGACCTCTCTAAGGCTAACATGAGTCCTGTCCCTAACACTGGCAAACCAACAAAACCTAACCTAACAATAATGTGCATGTACCACAAAAATAAACAAGAACACTTGTTTAGTGAGATTAATGTCAATTAGGTGACATACGAATTGGGGTCAAGGTAACCTTAGGTATTCTCAACCTATCTTTCTGTGGTGTCTATACTCTTATGTGACTTAAAAGAATGACAGTGAAACACAATAACAAGTAACAATATGTATTCCTAATAAATTAAGAGTGCAATAAGTAATTTATGAGACGACGCTTTAGCCAAGTGCCAGATGCTGTGGGATAGCTGCAATGGAGAAAGTGCAACACCGGGCAAAAAAAAGTCATTCTAGAGTTAAGTCAACTCACATACCAGGAACGGTTGATGGCCACAGGCCTAACAAAACTGCAAACCAGGCATGACAGGGTAGATCTCATCAAAATTAAAAAAAAAAAAGACTGAACAATTTGGATGTTGATACAGACAACTTCTTCAAAAGATCAGATGTAAACACAAATAAGAAGCAATGGTTTCAAGCTCAACAAGTCAAAATGCAGGACTGAGAACAGGAGGAGATGCTTTTTCACCCACAGGGTTATAAACCCATGGAACCACCTAACCCCTCGAAGTCGTAAATGCCAAAACTTAAAATACAGCTAGAAAAAATCATCAGGGAGGGGGGCTACATTACACCTAGAAATAATCCACAAGTTATGCTACAATGTATCTGCTGATAATCCTTATATTTTATTATAATGTACCTACTAATCTTAGTCAAATTTTCTTACAATGTACCTGTTAACATTTCTCAATTTTGCTAGAAATTACCTACTTAAAATTATCTGTTAGATTAATGTGTGCTAGTGGCTTTACAAGAATGCAAAAACATCAATGCCATGTACTCTCATAAACCCAATGTACTTTCTTGTATAAAATAAACAAATAAAAAATATTTATATGATTCCGGCAGCTCGGACATTACAAGAAAATCTGAAAAAGAACTGGCATTAGTCACAGTTGTACGCTGTACCAATCCAACACAAAAGATGGACAGCAATGTTACCTAGTGGTGATAGCAGGAAGTAGTAATCTCTAGTAAGTCATTACAAGATCATAGCATTTTGACCACGTGGATAAGTGACCACAAAACACAATATAATGTAATCTCATAAACTTCTAAACCACAATTCATGTATTCACTGATCCTAACACTTTTACTTAAACTTGGCAAATACAACCTCACCTGTTAAAAGTATATTCGGGCCGGACTTCATGGTGCAGAAGGAATATATTGAGTATATCTGAGACACAAGTCACTTGGTCTAGGCCACGGAGCCCACATATACTTCTACCATTTCCCACAAAAATATGTGTAACGTGCCGTATACAAATTATTGGCAACTATTAAAACTAGAGTTTAAAGCTATTAGCAGCTAAAAACTTCTACTTAGCAGGCATACAGGTATTAAGTGAAGTTGAGTGATGTGATAGACATGGCTTCATAAAAACGACGCACGTGTAAACACAACACATCTCACTGGTCACAAACGTCGTCCAGCGCACAAAACACGGTTGCCAGATCTAAATTGCTGAAAGTAGCGAGCTGACGGTCTAAAAGGAGCGAACTCGTAATATGAGTAGCCCAATCTTTTTTAGTGAATGATATTTATTTATTTATTTATTTATATACAAGAAGGTACATTGAGTTAGAGAGAATACATAGCATAGTATTTACAATCTTGTAAAGCCACTAGTACGCGCAGCGTTTCGGGCAGAAACGGTATTTCTTTCTTATTTCTCGGTATGGTTTTCAAAGTAATATATTTTCATATATAGAGTACACTACACGATGTTAATTCTTTCATTAATACTATTTCTGCACATACACACACACACACATATATATATATATATATATATATATATATATATATATATATATATATATATATATATATATATATATATATATATATATATATATATATCGTACCTAATAGCCAGAACGCACTTCTCAGCCTATTATGCAAGGCCCGATTTGCTAATAAGTCAAGTTTTCATGAATTAATTGTTTTTCGACTACCTAACCTACCTAACCTAACCTAACCTAGCTTTTTCGGCTACCTAACCTAACCTAACCTATAAAGATAGGTTAGGTTAGGTTAGGTAGGGTTGGTTAGGTTCGGTCATATATCTACGTTAATTTTAACTCCAATAAAAAAAAATTGACCTCATACATAATGAAATGGGTAGCTTTATCATTTCATAAGAAAAAAATTAGAGAAAATATATTAATTCATGAAAACTTGGCTTATTAGGCAAATCGGGCCTTGCATAGTAGGCCGAAAATTGCGTTTTGGCTACTAGGTACGACATATATATATATATATATATATATGTCGTACCTAGTAGCCAGAACGCACTTCTTGGCCTACTATGCAAGGCCCGATTTGCCTAATAAGCCAAGTTTTCCTGAATTAATATATTTTCTCTAATTTTTTTCTTATGAAATGATAAAGCTACCCATTTCATTATGTATGAGGTCAATTTTTTGTTATTGGAGTTAAAATTAACGTAGATATATGACCGAACCTAACCAACCCTACCTAACCTAACCTAACCTATCTTTATAGGTTAGGTTGGGTTAGGTAGCCGAAAAAGTTAGGTTAGGTTAGGTTAGGTAGGTTAGATAGTCGAAAAACCATTAATTCATGAAAACTTAGCTTATTAGGCAAATCGGGCCTTGCATAGTAGGCTGAGAAGTGAGTTCTGGCTACTAGGTACGACATATATATATATATATATATATATATATATATATATATATATATATATATATATATATATATATATATATATATATATATATATATATATATATATATATATATATATATATATATATATATATATATATATATATATATATATATATATATATATATATATATATATATATTGGTGTATACTGGCAGCAGGTTTTCTTTCAAACATGTTTCATTGAATATGACCGCATATTCTGTATTTATTATTTTCTGGTTTAGGGCTTCTATCCCTCTAACTATTTTCTTAGCATCAGGGCTTAATTGAAATAGGAGTTCTCCAAAACACATTTTCGTACTTTTAAGGTGAAGAAAAGAAGTGATTTACTATAGAGTGTATTACACTTATTTATATAATTTGCACAACGTGCAAATTTGCATAACTTGCATAATTTGCATAATATGCATAACGTGCATAATTTGCACATAATTTGCACAACATATATATATATATATATATATATATATATATATATATATATATATATATATATATATATATATATATATATATATATATATATATATATATATATATATATATATATATATATATATATATATGTCGTACCTAGTAGCCAGAACTCACTTCTCAGCCTACTATGCAAGGCCCGATTTGCCTAATAAGCCAAGTTTTCATGAATTAATTGTTTTTCGACTACCTAACCTACCTAAACTAACCTAACCTAACTTTTTCGGCTACCTAACCTACCCTAACCTATAAAGATAGGTTAGGTTAGGTTAGTTAGGTTCGGTCATATATCTACTTTAATTTTATCTCCAATAAAAAACAATTGACCTCATACATAATGAAATGGGTAGCTTTATCATTTCATAAGAAAAAAATAAGAGAAAATATATTAATTCAGGAAAACTTGGCTTATTAAGCAAATCGGGCCTTGCATAGTAGGCTGAGAAGTGAGTTCTGGCTACTAGGTACGACATATATATATATATATATATATATATATATATATATATATATATATATGTCGTACCTAGTAGCCAGAACTCACTTCTCAGCCTACTATGCAAGGCCCGATTTGCATAATAAGCCAAGTTTTCATGAATTAATATATTTTCTCTATTTTTTTTCTTATGAAATGATAAAACTACCCATTTCATTATGTATGAGGTCAATTTTTTTTTATTAGAGTTAAAATTAACGTAGATATATGACCAAACCTAACCAACCCTACCTAACCTAACCTAACCTATCTTAATAGGTTAGGTTAGGTTAGGTGGCCGAAAAAGTCAGGTTAGGTTAGGTTAGGTAGGTTACGTAGTCGAAAAACAATTAATTCATGAAAACTTGGCTTATTAGGCAAATCGGGCCTTGCATAGTAGGCTGAAAAGTGCGTTCTGGCTACTAGGTACGACATATATATATATATATATGTCGTACCTAGTAGCCAGAACTCACTTCTCAGCCTACTATGCAAGGCCCGATTTGCCTAATAAGCCAAGTTTTCATGAATAAATGTTTTTTCGACTACATATATATATATATATATATATATATATATATATATATATATATATATATATATATATATATGTCGTACCTAATAGCCAGAACGCACTTCTCAGCCTACTATTCAAGGCCCGATTTGCCTAATAAGCCAAGTTTTCATGAATTAATGTTTTTTCGTCTACCTAACCTACCTAACCTAACCTAACCTAGCTTTTTTTGGCTACCTAACCTAACCTTACCTATAAATATAGGTTAGGTTAGGTTAGGTAGGGTTGGTTAGGTTCGGTCATATATCTACGTTAATTTTAACTCCAATAAAAAAAAATTGACCTCATACATAGAGAAAAGGGTTGCTTTATCATTTCATAAGAACAAAATTATAGTAAATATATTAATTCAGGAAAACTTGGCTTATTAGGCAAATCGGGCCTTGAATAGTAGGCTGAGAAGTGAGTTCTGGCTACTAGGTACGACATATATATATATATATATATATATATATATATATATATATATGTCGTACCTAGTAGCCAGAACTCACTTCTCAGCCTACTATGCGAGGCCCGATTTGCCTAATAAGCCAAGTTTTACTGAATTAATATATTTTCTCTATTTTTTTTCTTATGAAATGATAAAGCTACCCATTTCATTATGTATGAGGTCAATTTTTTTTATTGGAGTTAAAATTAACGTAGATATATGACCGAACCTAACCAACCCTACCTAACCTAACCTAACCTATCTCTATAGGTTAGGTTAGGTTAGGTAGCCGAAAACGTTAGGTTAGGTTAGGTTAGGTAGGTTAGGTTGTCGAAAAAACATTAATTCATGAAAACTAGGCTTATTAGGCAAATCAGGCCTTGCATAGTAGGCTGAGAAGTGAGTTCTGGCTATTAGGTACGACATATATATATATATATATATATATATATATATATATATATATATATATATATATATATATATATATATATATATATATATATATATATATATATATTTTTTATATAATATATAAAAAATATATATATATATATTATATATATATATTTTATATATATATATATATATATATATATATATATATATATATATATATATATATATATATATATATGTCGTACCTAGTAGCCAGAACTCACTTCTCAGCCTACTATGCAAGCCCAATTTGCCTAATAGGCCAAGTTTTCATGAATTAATGTTTTTTCGACTACCTAACCTACCTAACCTAACCTAACCTAACTTTTTCGGCTACCTAACCTAACCTAACCTATAAAGATAGGGTTAGGTTAGGTTAGGTAGGGTTGGTTAGGTTCGGTCATATATCTACGTTAATTTTAACTCCAATAAAAAAAAATTGACCTCATACATAATGAAATGGGTAGCTTTATCATTTCATAAGAAAAAAATTAGAGAAAATATATTAATTCAGGAAAACTTGGCTTATTAGGCAAATCGGGCCTTGCATAGTAGGCTGAGAAGTGCATTCTGGCTACTAGGTACGACATATATATATATATATATATATATATATATATATATATATATATATATATATATATATTTTTTATATAATATATAAAAATATATATATATTTATATATATATATATTTATATATATATATATATATATATATATATATATATATATATATATATATATATATATATATATATATATATATATATCACTTGTTCCCTTGTAACTCACTTGTAACACTTATATGCTGTGCTTCCTATTTTAACCTGCTATGTTAAATGGGATTCTTGTATTGTGATTTGTGTATTTGTACTCACTGAATTTGTGCGCCCCTTGAGGGACTTGAAGTAGAGGGGGGGTAGAAATAGCCTAAGCTACTCTATCCCTTTGAGATGTATTTTTTTATTGTCTCAATAAACATACTTGAACTTGAAGTGGACTTTAATGTTTTTTCGGCAGCTTTATTTCCTTAGTTTCCGAGCTGTTTTCTTTACCGTGTATGTTGTAATAAACTATTCCTATATTTACAGTTGTTTCTCCCTGTGAAGATTATTAAACAATGGTGATTATAAGGGCGCGGAAGTTCAGCCTGGCCAGGGCCGCCAGCAGCCCTTGGGCCCGCCCCGGCAGCACCCAGTCTTTAATTTTTGCACCTTTGTGGCACCTTGGTATAAACTTAACATGTATACATACACACTGGCTGCCTGTCCCCCTTACACAATGATTTATTATTATCTATTATTTTATCATTTAATTTAAATATTAAATCAAATAATTTATTTAATTATT